CATGGGTGGGAACATAGTTATCAAAGATGAGGATAAGGCTGAGGTATTTAACACCTTCTTTACCTCAGTCTTCAGCAGTAAGACAGGTTGTCCCGAAGACAGCTGGCTTCTGGAGCTTGTAGACAGGGATAGGAAGCTGAATAGCCCCCCTGTAATCAAGGAGGAAACAGCGACCTGCTGAGCCACTTGGATCCCCACAGGTCTCTGGGACCAGAGGGGATCCACCCAAGGGTGATGAGGGAGGTGGCAAAAGAGCTCTCCAAGCATCTCTCCATCATTTACCAACAGTCCTGGCTCACTGGGGAGGTTTCAGACGATTGGAAGTTGGCGAATGTCACGCCAATCCACAAAAAGGGCTGCAAGGAGGACCTGGGAAACTACAGGCCTGTCAGCCTGACCTCAGTGCCTGGCAAGGTTATGGAGCAGATCATCCTAGGTGCAATCACACAGCAGCTACAGGATGGAGAAGAGATCAGACCCAGCCAGCACGAGTTTAGGAGGGGCAGGTCCTGTCTGACCAACCTGATCTCCTTTTATGATGAGCTGACCCACCTGGTGGATGAGGGGAAGGCTGTGGATGTGTCTATCTGGACTTCAGCAAAGCCTTTGACACCATCTCCCACAGCACACTCCTGGAAAAGCTGCAGCCCATGGCTTGGACAGGGGCACTCTGTGCTGGGTCAGGAACTGGCTCGAGGGCCGGGCCCAGAGAGTGCTGGTGAACGGGGCTGCATCCAGCTGGCGGCCAGTCACCAGTGATCAGTGCTGGGCCCAGTCCTGTTTAACATCTTTATTGATGATTTAGACCAGGGGGTTGAATCCACCATTAGTAAATTTGCAGATGACACCAAGCTGGGGGTTGGGGGGGGAGTGTGGGTCAGCTGGAAGGTAGGAGGGCTCTGCAGAGGGACCTGGACAGACTGGAGAGTTGGGCCGCTTCCAGTGGGATAAGGTTCAACAAGGCCAAGTGCCAAGTCCTGCCCTTTGGCCACAACAACCCCCTGCAGCGCTACAGGCTGGGGAGAGGGTAGGCATAGGCTGGGCACAGCACTACAGGCTGGGCACAGGCAGAAAGGATCTGGGAATTTGGACTGACAGGAGGCTGAACATGAGCCAGCAGTGTGCACAGGTGGCCAAGAAGGCCAATGGTATCCTGGCCTGGATCAGGAACAGTGTGGCCAGCAGGAGCAGGTGATTCTTCCCCTGTACTCAGTGCTGGTGAGGCCACACCTTGAGGATTGTGTTCAGTTCTGGGCCCCTCAGTTCAGGAAGGATATTGAGGTGCTGGAGCGGGTCCAGAGAAGAGCAACCAGGCTGGTGAAGGGACTCAAACACAAGTCCTGTGAGGAGAGGCTGAGGGACCTGGGATTGCCTGGCCTGGAGAAGAGAAGGCTCAGGGGAGACCTCATGACTCTCTACAACTCCCTGAGAGGAGGTTATAGCCAGGTGGGGGTCAGTCTCTTTTCCCAGGCAGCTGTCAGCAAGACAATAGGACATGGTCTCAAGCTCTGCCAGGGGAGGTTTAGGTTAGATGTTAGGAAGAAATTCTTCACAGAGAGGGTAATCAGGCATTGGAATGGGCTGCCTAGAGAGGTGGTGGATTCTTCATTCTTGGAGGTATTTAAGAGGAGACTGGATGTGGCACTTAGTGCCACAGTCTAGTAACTGTGGTGGTAGCGGATCAAGGGTTGGACTTAATGATCTCAGAAGTCCTTTCCAACACATGTGATTCTATGATAACTCCAGCTTCAGTGGACATCCACCCAGTTTAGACTGATGCAAATAATAGACTTTGATTCAGCCTCTCAAAGTTTTCTGACCTGCCATTATTTTTAATGTTTGATAACAGATAACAGCTTAGGATTGCAGCAGACCCACTTATTCTGTGGGCCTGCTGACAGAATGGGGATGGTGCCACATGGATGAACTGTGCCCACAGACTCCAAACTTGAGGCTTCACACCAGCTGCTCTCAAGGCATATCCAGCTGTGCTGATGGCTGCCAAACAGGGCTGTGCTCCCAATGCCATGTACCTCACAAAGACTGGGAGCTTCCCATGCACTACCTCAATGCCTTTGACACAGCATAGGAAGCTGTAAGAAAATGCAGCCAGAACATCTGACTCAGGATGTACAAAAGGATATTCTACACCATATGGTGCCACATTTGCTATATGAACTGCAGGAAAGGCTGGCTGGGGGCCACAGTTTGGGGGCTGGGTGGGCAACAGTCAGTGGATGGTGAGCAATTACCTTGTATATAACTTCTTTTCTATACTTTATTACTAGTAATAATAATAATAATAATTATTATTATTATTATTATACCCTCATTTTCTGTTCTAATAAACTGTCTTTACCTCAACCCAGAAATTTTACTTTGTTTTTCCTTCAAGTTCTCTTCCCCATGCCATTAGTAGTGGCAGGGAGTGAGCAAGCGACTGGATGGTAATTAGCTACATGGTGGGTTCAATCACAACACATAGTCAATGACTCATATGTTCACAAAGGTATACAGGTTGCAAATGATGCTGTGGTATATAGAATTAGAAAAAGTTTCCTTTAAAAATGTCCTTGTTTTTTCCATTTGCCTTTCAGCCAATTAAAACAGAAATGTTTCTGTTACCTACCAGGTTTGTCTCATTTACGTATTTCAGTACTTTTCTAAACTGGGGCCAAAGAGAAATTTTTCTCACATTAAGGATAGTTTTCATTGATGATACATGTTCTAAGTGAGATAAAGGCTGCACAGTATATTTCCTGGAACTGTTGAACACAGAACTGTGTAAAAGTTTTCCTGGAATTATTACCAGTGACTTCTAATGACTGACATCCTGTGAAAGCTACAGTACAAAGCAATTAGATATGTACTGACATCCAGTGGGTGAAAAATTGAGTCATGCCACCAATGCTTCATTCATTTTCATCTGCATTAGTTAAAACTTATTGTGCCCTACCGTGCCAATAACCACAAAGCAAGCTAAATTCTCTCTATTTTGCAAGACCTTTGAAATAGGGATACGTCCACATAGTCTTCATCTGTTTTTGAATCATTTACAAAATCTTCATTTAGATCTTTGAATCTACAGGTGTATAGTGTATTGGGTTTACATGGACAGGTTTTGGTAGCAGGAGGGCTGATACGGGCCTGGCTTCTCTGAGAAGCTGCCAGAAGCTTCCCCCATGTCCAACAGAGCCTGTTCCAGCTGGCTCCAAGACAGTGTCACCACTGGTCAAGGCCAAGCCTGTCAGGTAGCACCTCTGTGATAACTATTTAAGGGTTGAAAAACCTGCTGCAAAAGAAGGAGCCAAAAGAGAGGAGTGAGAATATGGGAGACAAATAGCCTTGAAGACACCAAGGTCAGTGGAGAAGGAGGGGGAGGAGGTGCTCCAGGCACCTGAGCAGAGATTCACCTGCAGACCATGGTGAAACAGGCTATGCCCCTGCAGTTCATGGTGGAGCAGAGATCCACCTGCAGCCCCTGCAGGACTCAGACTGGAGTAGGTGGATACTTGAAAAAGGCTGTGATCCTATGGGAAGCCTGCACTGAAGTAGTGCTGGCAGAGCTTGTGACCCTGTGGATGAATCATGCTGGAGCAGCCTGTTCCTGAAGGACTACACCCTCTGGAAGAGACTGCTCCGTGCTGGAGTTCATGAAGAAATGCAATCCATGGAAGGACTCACATTATGGAAGACTACCTGTTGTGGGAGGGGCCTCATGCTGGAGCAGGGAAAGAGAGTGAAGAGTCCTCCCTCTGACAAGGAAGAAGCAGCAGGTACAACATGTGATGAACTAACCACAGCCCCAATAGCCCCTCATCTTACTTTGCCGAGGGGGGTAGAGGTAGAGAAAATCAGGAGTTAAACTAATCCCAGGGCATAGGGAGGCATGGGGGGAGAGTATTTATAAGATTTAGTTTTATTTCCCATTATCCTATTCTGAGTTGATCAGTAACAAATTAAATTCATTTTCCCCAAGTTGAGTCACTTTTTGCCTGTGACGGTACTTGGTGAGAGATCTCTCCCCGTCCTTATCTCAGGCCATGAACCTTTTGTTGGATTTTCTCTCACCTGTTCAGCAGAGGAGGAGAGGGATGGAACAGCTTTGGTGGGCACCTGGTGTCCGCCCACGTGAACCCACCACCTATGTAGCAAGCATTGGATTAAATTGTATGTTTCTTCTCAGGTCTGTGATGCAGGTTCATTGTTGCTGGTGTTGTCAGAAAGGTGTTCCTGGGTGCTGAGCATTCAGGGTCCAAGCTGATAGGTTAACTCCAGGCTGGTGAAACACGTTGTTCCCTTTTTGTGTCAAAAGAAACACAAAGAGCTCTACACTGGGCTCCTAGCACCATCACAAGGACAGAGAGAAAACAGTTACCCGAATGCATGATGGTACTTACTAGCAATCCCCTCCTGCTTTCACTACTCTTTGTGCTACGTTTAGGATGCAATGTCCCATGTATACTGTCTTTTGATTAAGCCATTAGCAAACTAGGGGGGCAAGATCTTTGACCAGGTATAAATAGGGAAATGTCATATAAACTCTGCAAAAATTGCCTTCCATCTAATCCTTCTATGGAGGAGTCTTAAAAGGGAAAAGAAACACACCACATCTCTTCTGTGGGAAGACTGTTACCTTTAGCTATATGAGAGAATTTTTTAGAAGTTCATGTATGGTTGTATCTACTAGCCTGAGTAGTCCTTTTAACTGGATACAATAGTGGGAATGGAAAGAGTGGTCATTTTGAAAGGTTGATATTAAATAGAGTAAGGTAGGGAGTAGCAAAGAGGTAGAGTACTAGTGATGGTTTGTAAACAGAGCACATGTGGTGTATTCTGCTTGACAGTGAGAGCTAATGTTTATGATTAATTTTCCTTGAAATAATATATTTCTTTGTTTCAGACTCAAAACTTATTTGAAAGATAAATCTTGCCATAACCAGCAAGCTGGATAAAAATTAGGGTAGAAATTAAATCAGGACAATCAGGTTTAGAAATATTCTTCTATTTTGATTTGTAATGGAAGAAGAGATTTGCAGCAAGAGATGTCTTGCATTTATCCCAGTTTCATTCATGACTAATACCAAGCAAGTCAGAGGAACTGGGCTGGTAAGAGATGGGAAATAAAGATTGCATGGGGGAAATTCACACTTATTGTTACAAAGGCAATTTTTTATTTCCCTTCTTCTGAGGAACACAACTCTTATTTATAATCTATCCCCCGCAAAAAATTAGAACTTAGTCTAAGTACAATGAACAGCGGGTCGACCCAGTATTTGGCAACATACTTTCCAGGAACTCAAACTGTAGTTTCCCTCAGGAAAGATCTTCTCTGAATGATCTGCACTGGGGAAGGAGATAAAAGCAGAAATCAGATAAACTCCTTTTCACAGAATCACAGAATTTTCTTGTGGGAATTTTTCTCTCTTTTTCTCCGCAGTATATGCATACACACATGCACATACACATGGGCATACACGCTTTCTCCAAAGCACTTTAAATGTGATAAAATTTTCATAAGAAATGAAACAGAGAAGACTTTCCAAGCACTAGCCAAATGCCATGACCACATATTCTCTCTTTTTATCAGGATAATGCATGGTTTTCTGTATAAAGTCTTCATGTGTCTGGTATATCTTCCTAGATAACTGAAATGATTGAGGGTGTCACTCCTCCATTCAATGTTTTTACATCTGCTCAACATTGATTCTGCTGAAAATAGAGCAGGTGCCTGTTTTTGTAGCCACTTGTTAGCCTTAAAATCAGTGTGATGCACAAAAGATGGAGTAACAAAGAAATAAAAATGATGGAATGTACCTACAGATGATTTTCACTATGCTATCATTTTTTACAATGGTTCAGTGTTATGATAAACTCATTTGGAACATCAGGTTGCAAGAACAGGAATTCCTTGAAGTGATGTTCAAGCGCTGATGTTCAGGCAGAAGCTGGTGGTCTTGACACTAACATGAGTAATTTTTTTTAATTACATTTTTGTGAATAGCTGAAATCTAAAAATGTTACCATAAAGATGATGGTAACTTCACACATTGTATATACCCATGCTCAAAGATACATAATATGTCAAGGCATGGAAAGAAGAAATATACGTGTCAAAAGAATAATAGAGGAAAAAAAACCCCTGAAATTAGAACTGGAATTTTGATTCCTGACATAAGGAGTTAAACAGTGTAAGACATTTCAAGTTTCTACTAGTCTTGGTACCAAGTAAAGGAAGACACCTCTCTCCACAAAAACCCCTTGTGGTAAAAAGGCAGTGAAGGTGATGTGCCTAGCTAAAACATAATGCTAGTTTACCTAGCTAAAACATAATGCTAGTTTAAGTATTTTTTTTTTTTGTCAGTATTTGAGGTGAACCAGAGCTAGGCCACTGAATCTTTATACGATAAGATATCTTTAGTCTTTTGGATAGCTTAGCTTTGAATAAAGATATTTTGAGTTGTGTGTTGCTTCTGTGTGTGTTTGTCGTGTAACAGAAAAGTGCCCCAAGAAAAGGAAAACAATTCAGCATCATTAAAATACTTATTTCTTTAAAAGATGCAAGTTCATGGAAAACAGGTGCCCAAGGAAAAAAGCTAAATACCAAAAACATAATAATAAAAAAAGTTTTCAGAGCTCCCTATGAGCTCTGAAATATATGAGCTCCCTAAATTATGCTGACAGAAGGTAAAGGGTTCCTCAATACCTGGTGAAGAGACGCTGGCAGCATTCAGCTAGCTTTATGTTCTTGGCAGGGAAATCTGTGAAGCTGGAGGCATTTCCTAATAAGATGTGGCAAGGAACTTCCAGATCAGGGACAGTCAGCATTCCTATAAAGTAAGTAACAATTTTCTTAATGAGTAACGAAGGGGAAGATAAGACTCAGGACTGTGAGTCATGGGGGCATGATCAAATGAACCATTCTGGTTGATAAAACGTCACCATCTGAGATGGTTCTGTAAAGGCGCAGGATTAAAAGCCTCTAATTGTGGGATTTTGAAAGGATCTGAATAATTTTAAAGAACTGGATTTAGGAGTGACCCCAAAAATATATTTACTTTTTATATGTAGAAATTAAACTAAAGTGCCTTGTTACACTTCAAGCATTTTAGCTTTTTGCTCCTTTTAATGACACTAAAAGTTATGGTAATGGCTTTCTCACTGCTGCGTCAGTGTTCCTTCATTAACTAAAATGGAGCTATGCTGCATTTTTAGCAGTGCAAGTAAGTACAGAACCTTTTACTTTGTTTTAAATTGAGATAGTTTGCTTGGATAGATGTTCCTGAAATTTTTTTGCAAATAGTAATATCAGCATTCACTGCAGTAATGGAGAGACGGAATACGAAAGTGACAACTCGTTCTGTATGTAGTGTTGTGGAACTCGGACACATTTTAAATATGTTCTTATCAGAACTGGGGTAACTGCTTGGCTCTTCTACCTTCTCCTAGGCATAAGGAAAGCATTTACCATGGCAGGAGTGGGCGGAATGCAATTTTCTTTCCAAAGCAGATTTTATTATTTTGGAAAGATTTTCCCAGTGGCTGCTCACAATATTATTCCTAAGATCAGTATTGTGAAATGACACATTTTAGTAGGTCTTCCTGATTCCTCGGTTATGCAGAGCAGTGTCATGCATTAGAAATACTATGAATGGCTGTGAGACTAAAGACATTTCAAGTGTACTAGTTCTGTAACCTTCAGAAAATGGTGTGGGCTTATCCTTAGAATGTGTATGTTTCTGTTGATACAGTGATCACAAAGTGATAGGGAATTTGTGATAGAAACAGCCATAGTGTTTTCAGCTACATTTTCTTCAAGGGAAGAAAGCTGGAAAAGTGATTGTTCAATACTGGAGATAAATTTTATCTATTGAATCATATCTGGTCAATTAATTAAATCTTTGGAATAATTAATTTTATGTTCTTTATAATTTATCCCTAAGATAGTTGTTGCATTATGACTCTTCCCTCAGTTTGAAGGCGAGACTTCAAAAATTAGGAATTTGTTGTAGAGTCCCATTTCTATTTCATTAACTTAAGTGCTCTGTGGAAATAGTATCAACCTAAATATCAGTTTAATGTTAAGACAAAAAGTTGTTCAACTTCCCCCTCACTCTTTCTCTTTTACATCCTTCTTTCATTCCAATTCTTCTGTTTCTGGTCCAAAATTTCTTCTCTACTTCTGTAGCTAGCAGTGTGAAGGAGGGAGTGTAATTCATCTATAACTTGCTTTGTGTATGAGTCACGTGTTACTCACAGACTAACAAAAACAAACAAACAAACAAACCCAACAAAAATAAAAAACCCAAACAACAAAACCACAAAACAACACACAACAACAAAAACCAAAATCAAAACAAACAAACAAACAAGCTACCAAAAGATATAATGGAAGGTCTAAAATCTTTTCCTATTCTAGTTTTCAGGAACGTTTCATCTCATATTGACTTTTAACCCTGACAAGCCTAAAACCACTTAGTGTTCGAGTTGCAAGGGCTGCCCAGCTGTGTATAGCCTGGTACCGATGCACTGCCACGTGGTGGTCACTGATTTTGGGGGACACCAAACCTGAGTACTGTACCTGCAACACAGGCTGTCATGAAACAGGCGACAGTTCCCGCAATCATTGCTCTGAGAGCACCATCAGCTATTTCCTTCCTTTTTGAGGGAGCAATGCTTGCTAGGAAGAAAAATAAAGTATATGTCAAACAGAAATATATGTAAGGAAGATTAAGCTGCCAGCCTTTTCACTACAAGAGGAATTTCTGACCCTGCAGTTTGAACTAGGGGAAAAAAAGGAGGAAAAGCATGACATTTTTTAGTGGGCTATTTGAAGGCCAAGTGCAAGTGTTGGCTCTTCTGTTAAGAAGGTGGTTTGTATATAAAATGGTGACTTCTGTTTGCTTTGGGACCTTGCACATATGTGCTGCTGATGGTGCCCTTCAGAGAGATCTGGTCCCATGGCTGCGTCTTGCTCCTCCATGCTGAACCACTGCTGGCACAGAGGAGCTCACTGGGGCTTCAGGGCAAAAGGGGGCTGCCAGTAGTTCCAGCTGCCTGGTGAGGAACTGACATGTTTTTTTATTTTTTCTTTTTCCACTGAGATATGAGAAATGTGGGTTTTTTTCTCTTTCCCTATAAGCCTAATGCACATATACAACATTTTTACAGGAAACAGCCACCTTCATCTTTCAAACCAGCATACTACTGAAATAGTTTGCTCCTTCTGAAGCTCAAGGGCTGTAGTAGCTCAGGCTCATGGTTGAAGGCTAAAGAGGGAGGACTATCAGCAAGACCTGGTCCCCTCCCCTTGCCCTCAGCCCCTCTCCCAGTACCTCCACCCCAAAGACTGTGCCCCTCTGGGAGCCCTTCCATGCACAGTTAGGTGCTAGCAGAGCAGCGATTCAGCTCCTAATGCTGCTAAGCTTCACCCACAGCCTGTTCCTTCTGGTGTTTTCTTTGGGATTTGCTTGCCAACCAAATTGTCTTTTAGATGGGTTCTTACTCAAGCCTCCTATTACCAGTCCCAGGGAGCCGAAGTTGGCAAAGCCACAAAGAGCATAGGTGGCAATGACTTCAGAGCGAACCTGGAAAACAAACACATACCCTCTCAGTTGTTTGAAACAGCTCATGCTGATTCAAGTGTCTGAAAATATGGCTCAGGGCTCTGAGTATTAAAATTCCTCAATTTCACTTGGTTGCTGCCCCAAGTAATGGCTTTCAGAAAGGTAGGCTCATTCTCTTGCTGGAAGTTGATGGCTTTTATACCAACTGCCCACGTGAGGACTCAGAAATCATGTGATGGTTTTATTTTGCATGTACATTGCTGTGCCTTGCTGAATTGTGTACTAGCAATTAAGGATAAAAAAAAATCTTATCTTGCTAGTGGAAATTTAGCTGCTGTTTTCTGAATGTATGAGTCAGAGAGCTATAACTCAGCAGCTCCTTTGTAGCTGAATGCCTCCATAATATTCTATTGAAACCTCAAGTTTTGGTATGCATCCCTGACTTCTTTGTTCCTGAGCAAGCACAGGACTCTATGTACAAAGCTGCTCTGAGCATGCTCCACCCTGGGCACAGAAGAGAAATTGGTCTCATAGAGAGTGGGTACTTTGGTGTGTTAACAGGTAGAGAGGGACACTAAGATTTTGGAATGCCCCTTAGCAACTTATTTCCTTGCTGACTTCCACTATCTTTCTCCCCTTGAGTAACACCAGTTCAACGTGGAACTCAAACCAGAGACAAGATTAGGATGGCCTTTGCTTCCATGCAGGGACCCCTCAAATGATGCAGAATGACTTCAGATGAAACCAGGCTACAAACCTCAAAAAACTTCTGATAAATGTTGTTCAAACATTTTGACATAGGAGGCAATGTATCTCAGCAAATGTTTTGTTCCCCTGGCAGCTTTGAATTCCTGTTTAAGCTAAATAGGAATAGTGTTTTAGGCTAAAGCTGAAAATGTGTGAGTATTCCAGGAGGTTTCCTGTTTATTAGAAGTTTCTCTGTTTTAATTCCTCTTTTATGAACATCAATTTGTAGATACTTTCAATCAATCTGCACAAATGCAGGAAAATGCTTTTCAAGTACCCACTCTACCAGCTTTTCCTAGAAAAAGATTTGTGTACTGTGATTTCCCTGCTTTCATTTGCACTTTATTTTCTCTGAAAACAGGAAGCTGTGTAATTACTGACTCAGGTGAGGGTACTTGTTTGCTCACTCTGAGTGATTATCTGTATGGGGATGTATTAGAGAGCTCTAAAGCTGAAGAGAAATTAAAAATGGAAGTCAAGCACACTCTCACCTAAACTATTGTACTGTAATTATAATGGTTACTGAGCAATTTTTACCAGCATTATAAATCAAAATTATTGGTATATATTGGAGGTTTTACCATGAAAGCTCTTTATAGGTATAAAAAGTGAATGTGGAAGTTCTACATGATATCTTACTGAAAAGAAAAAAAAAAAGAAAAAAAAAGAAGTGAAATAGAGTTCATAGGATCTGCATTTTAAGGCTGACTTCCAGACTAAAAAAAACCCTGTTATTTACATATACAGAAGTTCAGAACCATATTCCCCAAGCAGAATGAAGCACAACTGTAGCAGGGCATAACAAAGATCCTTCCAGCCCAGGATTCTATTGGCAGGAGTTTCAGGAACAGTGGAAATGGATGGTCAGGCAAGAGTGTGAATATTTAATCAGATCATCTGTCTTTCTATCTTTCTATCTCCACATGTGAAATATGTCCTGGTAATCAGGAATGGAAGTGACCAAGAACATAGTTTTTGTTTTTAAGTAGGAGAGGTATCCACAGCATCATACCAGATTAAAAGAAAATTAAAAGCTATACAAAATGCTTTATAGTTAAGGGTTCTTCTATAGTGACAATTTGTCTCGATTTCAGCAAGAAAGGCCAACACAGGTGTAAAGTTGGATATCATGTTTTTTGTTGCCTGTGCTTAAGACAAATTCAGCAAAGGCTGTGCATGTGGATGCCAGGTGGGGGAGCAGTCATGGCTGCAAAACTTTGATCAGCATTGATCACTGCATGACTTTTGGTCCTGTGCACACACTTTGGATTCCCTTAGCATGGCCTTCCTAAGTGCACTGTACTAGGGGTTATATAACTGTTGGGTGAATTGTGAATGAGACGTGAGACAAGGCTTTGGCTGGAAGTTTTTATGCAAACTAACTTTCAATGGCAATTGAAACAGACTAGTTTGAGTCAGTGTGGCAAGGGAAGTCTATGCCATGCAATACATATCTTTTGTTACTGCTCTCTGAACAGACGACAATAGCATGCAGCAAAGGTGTGCCAGTAGTGCCATCTGCTAAAGCTTGCTGGATGCCTCTCTTCAAGTTTAATTCTTGGCAAACCTCTGAGGACAGTAGGATTCTCCAGTTCTTGCCCAAGTTTTTCTTAGGATCGTAGCTCGCAGGGAAGTGCTAGCTGAGAATCGGGTAAGAAGCTTACCTTAAAGACAGCCTCTGTCTGTGGGATATTGCATGTTCACCAAAACTATGCCCTTCTGTTTCTATGTTGGTTTGAGACAGGTAATGTGATGACAGTCCTAGCAGCCTCACAAAGAAATAGTGCACTTTCATAATTGAACTCTGTCACTTAAGGACACATTGTAGAGTAATATGCAACAATGTTATGCCCATATTAAAAAATAAGTTGAGTTTCAACACTGAAGTATTAGATCGAGTAAAACTGAAAATGTTACTTACTGTCATATACTGTTTCACACCATTAATGTACATGCTTCCACCCTTTTCTCGGTTGTCAATCAGTTTTGAAAGACGCTCGTAAGCCAAAAATTCATTGAAGAAAGTTTTGTAACCTAGTAGGCCACCAACAATAAAACTATCTTCCCAGTCTACTCCCATCATGAAAGAGAATGGCATGAAGACATAAGCACAAATAGTCTGTGAAATATATAAAACAAAGCAGGTCAAAAGATATGGCTGGTTGAAGAACAATGGCATGCAATAACTTCTCTAAACTTACAACAAGGATGTTTTTATTTCAGGGGGCAAAAACTGGCTTTGAATTCTTGCTGCCAACACCTCAGGAATACTGAGTTTTTCATAGTAAAGTATGCTTGAGTAATTTTTAAACAACTAACTCAAAATCTACATATAACAAAGTAATTAGGTATATCCCTAGTTTTACATTTAAAGTAAAACCATCATTTCTGTGCCTTTTTTTTCCCCCAGTAATGGTTTTAAATTGGGCATGGTGTTTAAAGCAAAGAAGAAATCCTGAGTTAAAGGAGCTGATAAGGGAACTGAGAAGTCTAATTCTTCTGCTGATTAAATCAAAAGTATTAATGAACATGCTTAATGACCAGGTTATTAAATCCAACTGGTGTAAACAGAAAAGTTGTCTCTGCATAAAAGCTATGCATCAGACAAAATTAAAGCTGTACCATTTTTTCCCTGGCATTAAAAGTTTTATGCAAATTTAAAAAGAAATTCTATCTCGCAATACAGCTTATTTTTATACTACAGGGAATAACTCCAGCTGTGAAAGGGTTTGGTCAGATAGTCCTTAGCAAATGTAAAAGAGGTCTTTAAGCAGTTCCTGGCTGGTTTCTCTGCCCTCAAAGGATTAGGTGTTAGTTTCTCTCAAATGGGAGAGATGGCTGAATGCATCATGTCTGTGCAACTCAGCTCCTTCTGGACTATTTACCTGTCCAAAATTTTGCACTATCCAGCAGTTATTAAAATACCTGCATTTGCACGAGGGCTAAGGCATGCATACTAGAGACTTTCCTTGACTATGGATGTCTGTGTGGTGAGATATCTGTGAAAGCTCTGCAGGGTACTATCTTAACATTGCTGAAACCACATTTGTTATGGGTACCTATTTACTTCAACACCTTTATCACAAGTTATATCCATGTTTAACTCAGGACTTCTATTAGAGTCTTGCAAAACAAAAAGCCCCAAACCATTAAAACAAGACAGTTGCTTTGGGCCAAAAATGACATATTGACTTGGGTTAAAACAGAAGTCCTGTTTGAAACCTGTTTGCTCAGATGAGTGATTTGGGTACAGTTTTACATTGTGTTGAAAACTAAGTAGTATTGAGTAAATGTGGGTTCAGACAAGTCCAGCTTTGTCCCAGTGTCCCCATCTTAGTGAACCTGATGAGCATTAAGGGTTTGATGGGATTCTGAAGCTAAAGCTACTTTAATGTTTAGCTGAAGATGTTAATGGTTTGTCAAATGTGTAACAGACAGATATGCTGCACTGTCAGATCAGAGGAGGCAGGTGTTAGCATACTCTGTGTAAACATACCACGAGGGTTAGCAAGAACACTAAAGAGGGAAACTATACACAGAGTAATAGCTACAGAAATACTTACATGGCAATAATTTTACTTTGACTGTTTAGATGTCTTTCACTATGTGCAAATAAAGTATGGGTTTAGGTAACGTTAAAAAGCAAAACAACAATGAAAAATAACTGTAACAAAACCATACAGGCACTTAATTTGAGTAAGATAAATTATACATGTATGTGATCTGCATGAAGGACCTGGAAACCATACCTCAAAGCTCAACTGTGGGTAGTCAAACAAGCTGCCCAGCCACGAAAGGGATGAGTCAAGAAAAGTCAGCAAGGCAAGGAAGGAGATCAGATTCACGGCGATGTTTGCTACCAGTGTGATGGAGGTAGAGGCACCCTGACTGGCTGCTTCCAGAAGACTCCTTGACTCACTTTGTCAGTGAAGAGAAAACCACAGTGTGAACATTTTTCAAATCAAGAACAGGTAATAGAACTAAAAGGTATGTTCACTTGTTTAGAAATCTAGTACCAAAGCTATCTGTTGACTCATAGGGAAAATAATGATGAGAAATAACGAGATGGAGTGGGCTTTTGCTATCAATCCTCATGACAGACACTTGAAACATATGCTTGTGGTGCCTTGAGGATGAATTCTCTGACGTGTTCAGGGTTGGGCATGATATGGATCAAGTCAGTACTGTGGCACTGCTAGGATGAGGGATTGGTCACTGCTCTTCTTACACACACCTCTTGTAGAGATGCCTGGGCCGTTCAGGAACAGCTTCTTGCAAGCCTTTTTGCTTTGCCTGTCATTCTTTAGACAGGTAAATCTCCCTGCAGATCAGCAACAAGTTCACTGCTGTTGCTGAAATGATTGCTCCGCCTTTGCTTTTGGAGGTTTGCATTTACAGATTCATTACAAAAGAAAGACAGCAATGTCACAAGTGGGAAAACCTCTTGGTGGGTCACCTCATGTAGGCATTTCCCTCTTTCTCTAGAGAGTTACCGTCTGTCCCAATGGGATGTGACATCTCCATGTGTTACATTGTAATTGGGCACACTGCTCTTGAATTCACAAATCAACCATTTGCACTATATTAGGATGTAATTAATTATTGCTTGCAGACCTACCATATAGTCCCCCTTAAGATTATGTGTGAGCAGTGATTTTCCCAAATCTCATTTTTGCAATAATATTAGGATTAACCAGAGCCTAGATCACCTTACCATTTTACCATTTGTAGGCTACTTCTCAGAGTTACCAGAGGCTTTTCAGTTTCAGGCCAGAATAGTTTGGAGGTGGCTAATGATGCCGGTGCTGACATGACAGAAGCAGTCAGTAGGTGGGAGGAGGAAATCTAGAATTCCAGGTGAGAGAAAATACTCTGTGATAACCACATAAAGTGCAAACATGAAGGAAAGCAATTAAAACTGTCAGACATTCAGATGATTTTTCTACAGGGGTTCATTAAAAAGTTCACATTGCTCATATGGAGAAGACGGGCTTTTTGTGGTTAATTCCTTCAGAGAGGGACAAAAAACCCCAATGGGAATGACTCAGATGCTTTCAAAGCGTTTTAGCTGGGCTTTTATACTTAGGAGATTTCAGATAAATCATATATTTTCCATTTCTTTTCCCCTGTCTTACCCCAAAAGAAATATATGCTCCTAAGACACTTCCCGCAATAGTTGAGAATCCTGCTGTCATGACTGCATGGAGTTCAGATTTGGTGATGTATGGTAAGTAGGGCCTCACCAGGAGAGGAGATTCTGTCTGGAAGTGAAAAACAAGCACCAAATTCAGAAATTCCCAATAAAAGGCAATAAATTTAGTTTATTATCATGACAAAAATGAATAGTGACAGACTACTGAAATATCATGCTAATATTGCTTTTGGGCTTGGATGATACTTGGTGATCTTTCTACTTTGAACCCTGGGACAGTGTTGTAAATGTGAGTTTAATGGATTTCCTATTGAAGTGGATCCTAAACTCCTATTACATACTGCCTCCTGCTTTTGTAGCTAAGGCCTTGTACTGCTAGCACCGAATCTTAGTTTTCTGCATCATCTTTCTCTCCTGTCCCTGCCTGCCTTGCATGTCCTCTTTTCATCCCACTTGCCTTCTGAATTAAAAAAAAACAAACTGAAATTGTTATTTCTTCATAGCCTTGGAGTAGCCTGTTAGTCATTTATTGGACATCTATCACCTACATTTATGCTTGACTTTCTGTTGGGAAAACATATGGTTTACAAATTCCCCCCCTTTTTGCATCACTGCCAACATACGAACATACTGGAATTTTGTAAATCAACCAACTCTGCTGTAGCGGAGTCATAGCTTTATAAGAAATTTTTTTTTTAATAAACAGATGCTCAATGAGCAGCACGATTTCACTACATTCAATAATATTGTGTTATCAATTTTCTTCTGTACTCCAACTCACCTGTCCCACAAATATGTTACCTGCAGCTACCAGAGATTCAATAGGAGTTGTCCCCATGAAAATGTGCATTATCCAACCAACCTAAGATAATTGAAAAAAAGAAACAAAAATTTGATCTACCTATTCCATGCACTTCTAGAGTTAATCATATCAATCTAAGACTTCTGAGACATGTTATGATATTTCCAGCTTAAAAATAACAACTGTTTTTCATGTCTACCCCTGAGCAATTTGGCCAGGGTCAATGCTACAGTTCCTCTGCATGTGTTCAAAAATGTCCCACAGTAGCCAAATGAGTACCCACTGGCAAAAATTCATACCTTTCCAATGAGCCACTGCATAAATCCAACATGGTAAAGAATATTCATTACTGTGCTGAAGAAAACCACAATTGGCAGTACCTGATTTGGAGACACAAAAACATTAAAAGTTTTAGAGTAGTTTCGTTTCCTTGATTCTGTGGGCCATTTAATTTTTGAAAAAGAGGGTTATGTTTTCAAAATGTACTTACAGGTATGGAAAACTCATCATTTAGTTTACACATATGCTATAAAATTGTTAAATTTCTAGACTTGTTGTTTGTGCTGGAATTAACTAATTTTAATTCATCTACACAGTTTTCTAGCAGCAGTGCAATAGTTTTGAAACAGTTTGTTTTAACAAGTTTATAGCCATGTTTAAGTAATTTCAAACATTACTGGGCAATGGCATTTACAAAGACTTGGATATGTAAAAATTGGATTTTGAAAACCATTAACAATGGTACTCTGCTGTAGAATTCAGATCTCAACTTCCCATAGCATCATAGCATGTTAAGGGTTGGAAGGTAGCTTAAAGATCATCTAGTTCCAACCACCTCTCCCATGGGCAAGGACATCTCCCACTAGACCAGGTTGCTCAAGGCCTCATCCAACCTGGCCTTGAACACTGGCAGGGTTGCAGCATCCCCAGCCTCCCTGGGCAACCTGTTGCAGCACCTCACCACCCTCACAGTAACAAATTTCTTCCTAATATTATCTACCCTAAATTTCCCCTCTTTCAAGTTGTACCCATTACTCCTTGTCTTATCATTGCAGTTTCTGACAGAGTTTCTCTTCAGCTTCCTTGTTTTTCCCCTTCAGATACTGGAAGGTTGCCATGAGATCTGCACACACACTTCTCTTCTCCAGGCAGAACAACCCCAACCTTCTCAGCCTGTCTTTGCAGGGGGGGGTGTCCTTTTTATCAACTTCATGACTCCCCCCTGCACTTGCTCCAACATTTCCATGTCCTTCTTATGTTGGGGACGCCAGAACTGGATGCAGTACTCCAGGTGGTGTCTCACAAAAACAGAGTTGAGGGGGAGAATCACCTACCTTCACATACTGTCTGTGCTTCTTTTGAGGAAGCCAAGGGTTCAGTTCGCCTTCTGGGGTATGAGTCCACATTGCCAAATCATGCTGAGTTTTTCATCAACCATCACCCCACCCCACCCAACCATCATCTCTGTGTCTGTGTTTTAAAAAACACAGTTTAGACTGCTGTGTTAGCAAAAGAAGAGGTTTCAATTGGAATTATTGTTGACTTGATTTCACAAAATCAAAGGCAGCCTGTGTAGTGCCTTTCAATAACAGATTATAGAAAAATCCTCTTTTATTCTGCTATATTTACAGTATTGGTTATAATGCCAATGCGGAATATTCAAGAGCTCTGTAACTGTAAGCTGAGACAGAATCTGCTTAAAGGTATATACTTCCTAAATACAAAAAGTAAATATAAGTCTCTTTCATTGGAGACTAAAGGAAAAATATTTCCCTTCAACATATAATTTAAAAGAATCATATGAATGCCTAACTCACTGTCTGATGCATTATTAAATGTGTTGGGTTTTCATTCTGAATAAAACTCCTATCACAGGACCTCACTACTGCTATGCTAGTAGGTGGTGAACAACCTAGGAAGGGAGAACATTCCCCCAAAAGATCCAAAATTAGTCAGATTAGTTACAGTTAAAACAATACCACTAAGACTAGGAAGCTTTCATTTGTGTTCACTAACGACATAATGCATTATGTGTAAAATCAAGTAATAGAATGAAAAAGAACAAACCACTTTGTTAGTTCAGAACTTCACAGTAAATAGAAGCTGTGCCTTTCTAGAGGAGACTTTGTACTATCAACAGTCTTGACAAACATTTGGAAATTCAATTTAGATGATCAGAATCTTTCACTGAAAGGACAGAGTGCACTTAACTGCTATTGTTGTGCTGTTCAACAAGTTAATAAAAGGCTGCTTTCTCTAGTTTGATTCTCTGATCCTTTTTGCAATCCTCTCAGGATAGTTTGTCATGCAGAAATAGCAGAAAGTTTAGTTTAGTAAAATTAACCTCTTTCTCCCCTGCCTTTTCTCTTCTGCCATTTGCCTTTGTGCTAGCCAGAGGCATCTTGCTCCCAGCCAGCTCCATATCCTGGCACAAGAAGGGACTGATGCAATGTCTGTAATGAAATGGGTCTGGAGAAACAGTAGGCAGAGAGGCAAAGGTCAACTCTCTAGTTGGTGGCAAAAACTGTGAGTGATCACCCATCTTTCACTCTAAATGGACAGGAAAAGCTCTCAAGTTTGAGAGCTGTGGTTTGCTTTCAGCAGAAGGAGAGAGAACACAATGTTCTGCCAATACTGGGTGACAGCAGGCATCCTTTGGCCTTCTCCACATTCCTCTGAAAATATTTTAGACAACATTAGAACACGCTTTTCCAGTTTTTTGGTTGCAACCATTCCTGGATAAAGCACTTGTCGTTACAAAACATGAAGTCTGCCCCAAAGTTATGGGTACTCTGAACAGGGGCTCACAATGGAGTTGTCTTCCACTTGCTTCTGCCATGAAAAAATTCACATTTGAATTTACACACACCATTACAACCTGCAGATAGAGACAGCTGTCAACTCCGAGAAAAAAATAGGAGAGAACTGCAAAAAGGAAATATGACCAGGAAGTCAGATGGACCGTAGCTGTAGCAGAAGCCAAATCCTCCAAAAGGTCTAGTATGTTTCTGTATGGGAAGAGTGGATGGCTCCTGTAGTTTAGTTTTAACTGCATGCTTAAAATGTTACAATTACATTTTTCTCTGTAGATAAACTGATGTGGAAGTTTAGTCTTCAGTTTGTACAGCTCCTGATGTGTACTACATACCTTTAAATACTCAAGTTTTAATGGATGAAAACATTTAACGAGCACTCTGAAAAATTGCACAGCCTTTCAATGCAGAATTTTAATCAAAGAGCTCTTTAGAGTTACATTTATGTGACCTACAAATGTTGCAGTTTATGCTTCCCAAAATACAACCTTCAAGAAAATAAATTCTCTAAACAGTGTATTTTATGAACTGGGTTATTTCCTGTTTATTGTTAATTCTGCAATAAGGTTTGATCTTACTAAAGAGCTACTTTCCAGATCATGATTATTATGAATGCTACATGGAGAGCAGGGAGTTAAAACTGACGGTTGCTCTCAACTTCCCCTCCCATTTGCGGCTGAATGTTCACCATTTTTTCTTATTTTCTTTTAAAGAAGTTGCTAGTGATGTTTAAGGAACATTCTGCTTTCATACACTCCTAAAGCATGACCTTCAAAGCAAAGCCTTTCTCAGGGAGCCATAATCCTCCTGGTGCAGAAAGGAAGTTTATTTCCTGCTTGCTTGAAGCAAACTTTGCTTTTTGTAGTCAATAGGATAGATGACTTAATACTAAGAGGGTTTTTTCCAACTACTTAAGTATTTGGGTGTGCTTGGTTATGTGGGCAAGTGGTTTTTTTCACAGCTCTGAAACTCCATGTCTGCATTCACAAATACCCATTTAAAATAACCCATATGAATGTATGTGCTGTGTCTGATCTTGTAGTGATGTCCATCTAAGTTAGCAGAAAATTGATATGTCCCTGCATACTGATAAGGATGCATTATGGATACAATTAGACTCTGAAGGTTTTCTGTGAAGACATACCCTATCTCGTGTTCTCTCTCTCAAGAGGTAAGCCAGTACTGAGACTTTTTTCTTTTTTGGAGGATGCTTTAAAATATCTGGCGGCAAGATTTGGAGAGCTCAGAGTAACATGCAAACCTCACAAAATATCTGAAAGACACACAAAAAGTACTTTGGACCGTCTTATTGTCTAAATAAATGATAAGTGTTTCAAGAGAGAATAGGCTGGCTGTTACTCACTGTTATTGGAAGAGAGAATTCCCTTTCTACAGAAGGAGCAGAAGGAGGATGTTCTGGTATTGCTGTGCACTTGTCTGCCACTCTGTTTACCATATATATATTCCTAGACATATGCAGCTCTGAAAATCAGCTCATGAGTTTTGTTGTGTTTTTTTCAATATGCAAATAACCTACTTGTTCCTTCTATCCTCTTCTAGATATGCCATGTCTATTGCTGGCTTGAACTATAGAAAAAGACAGATGGTTGTTTGCATACACAGAAGAAAACTTTTGGCTGTCTGGTCCCTAGTTATGGCGTTAGTCAGCAAGGAATTTTACATCACCACTGAGGCACTAAAAAACACCTTGAAATAATCATATTCGTAAGGCATTATCGAAAGCCACAGGAAAAATAACACCGGAGGTGGGAATTAATTCATTTCACCCCTAAAATATGTAATTGGGAATACAAATCATTATTTGAGTGCTCAGTAGAGTAAAGATGCTCAGTAGAGTAAAGTAGAAAGTGAAATTAAAGGTTTCACCTTAAGTACTAAATACCTTTAGTATTTAAAAAAATATTGAACTTCAAAAATAATTTATATTTATTGATTAAATTTTTAATTTCTTTTTCTCCTCTAAGATGTTCTGACTATTCTTAGTAGCAGCCTGTTTTACAGATAGCACTTCTTTAGTATTTCTACAGATAGCATCTACAGATAGCACTTTCATTCTCGAGTGGTGAAAGAACTAAATTTGAAGATTATCTGATTTGGAATATCACCTCAAGAAAAAAAGAAGATGAAAAGCATGTAAGCCCATGGTCAGCTCTCTGAAACATCAAAAGAATGATCTCTGAGTAAGTCTTGATACATTTCTCATGTTTGCTTTGTTTTTGTTACTGGGGTTGGGTTTAGGTTTTTTTGCTTTATATGTTGATTCCAGCCTAAGCAGGTATTATGGCATGAGGTACTTCTTGAAGCAAAACCAAGAAGGATATTGATGCAGATCAGAGAGCACAGAGCACATAAACTGTATTCCAGCAGTTTCCCAGCAGGGTTTTCTAAGGGAGAGAGCTGCAAAATCTCCCTGTGATCTTACTAATGTAATAATAACACAATGTAATGTAATTCTTCCTGGTTATGCATGGGCAGCTTCTATCTCTTTCACCAAGTGTATATAAATATACCTCAAGGCTTTCCACTGTTGCAGGGGCAATGTCTGTGAGGCATTGGTCTACACAGCCTTTAAGGATATGACATTTAAGGATAACACTTTTACTCATGGAGAGGTGGAAAAGCTAGGCTGGAGGTAATATTTCTGTTGATGGCCAGGTAAAACCATTTAACCTATTCCTTGTTGAAAGATACCCCAAAATTCTGTCTACATGCAATATATGTTGTTATAATTGGACTAAACAAGTACAATCTAACTAAGTGTATAGCAGTAAATGAAAGGCTTCCTACGGGCTTCCCAAATTTTCTATTCAGAATGTCTCATAGTAGGGAATAATTTACCTCTTAGCTGATTTCTCTGGTGGCTGCACAGGTATCACAAGACATGTAATAAATTTATTTCCCTGCTATACTATTCCTTTTTCTGTTGTTTATCTGCCACATACAGCATGTATAAAAACTGTCTCACCTTAAAAGCGAAGAAATGATCCTTGTATTTTTCACCAAACACAAACTTGGCACCTGTGTCAGAGTACTCCAGAAAAGTCTAGGGACAGAAAGCAAAGGAAATTAACCATAAGCTCTTGGTACCTACCAAAAACTAAGATATTGCTAGCTATCTTGCAAAGACAGATCTTTCAAGGAACTTGTGCTCTGTATGAGTTCAGGCCTCACTGACTGTGTCTGGCTGAATTGAGGGTCCCTGCCCTGCTCTAGCAAGAATGCAGTCTCCTTCAGGGTATGTAAGCAAATGGCAAGAGCATAGGGCACAAATTCCTTGATTACCCAACACAATAGAGGTCATAAAGTAAACTAAAAGAAACATTTATTTTTTAATCCTAATACTGTGGGGCATTTTTGTGCTCCATTGTGCAAATAAGTGCAATAAATGATACAGTTTAAAACAGAGATTTAATAGCTGAAGTAATGAGTTTTGGAATGAGTACCTAAAAGCTAACCTAAAGAAATCTACTTTTTAGTTTAGATCCGGTGCTACGTTCTTATACTTCTGATGCCAGCATATGCATTAATGCATTAATGATACAGTTTAAACTGGAGATAAAGTGCAGTTTATAATAGCTATAGAAATCAGTTCTGACAGGAGCAATTGTAAGCCATATGAAGTTAATGAAAGGGTGCACCAGTCCTGCTTCAGTTGGAGACTGAGAACCTGGTGACAAAACCCAGATGACTCCCAGTGCTTGCAGATTAGGCAGACATCACACCTGTGCCTCTGCTTCCATAGAGAGACAGTACATTCTGCACTGTCTTGTTTTACGTGTGTTTAATTACCTGTGAAGAGCAGCTGTGAGAATAGTATCCCTGGGGTGAAAAGTCTGAATGTCCTTCAGTGGGTACTCTCTGATCTACATTTTGGATATTGCTTATTCATTACATTACAGCACTGAGCTTTTTAAAAAAACTTTGTGTCTGCAGGGACACCCACAGACAGATCCCATCCACTCTATAGAGATATTTTTCTGCTTGCAGATGTGGATATTGCCACCTGTATGTAGTTAAATTAATTTCCTTACATGTCATGAGAACTATGAAATATCTCTCATGCCTGGACTGCTGCTACTCTGAAGACAACAGTGGTTCTGCCTTAAACTTCAAGGCTTTTCAGAATGTCACATTTATTGCAAGGATGCTTTGGAGTTGGGCCACGTCTAAGAGTTTCTATGAGTGCCCTGGCACAATAGTGGTTTTATGTTTCAAGGATGCAAATTTAACTTCAGCCCAAGGATGGTAAATCCATTAAGAAATGGTGTCATTCTGGCCATTACTCATCAGACTGTCCCCTATGGTCTTGTATTAACTGGACAAAAAAGAAATTAGAAGGTTGAATTCAAGTAGTCAATTACCATTCTGAGAAACCAGTTTTCCTTAAGAGGAGAAAACATCCAGGAGCAAATAGATCCTTGAACAGCCTGACTGTTATGTAAGAGTCTCAGGACAGAAAATTATATTAAAAACAGTGAGGATTTTTCCCAGTAGCTTACCTGGATCTGAATGCCTAGCCAGTTAAATACATCAAAACCCACTTTGGTCCTCAGAATAAGAAGCCCAAGAATAAACTGCATTCCTATTCCTGAAAGTACTGGTCTCCAAGCAACCTAGAAAGACAGAAAAAAAAAGAAACTGTTTGTTATTTAAATAAATAATATTTTACTTCAGACATTTATTAAAATAAGGCAAGGAGATTGTCTGACTATGCTGCAGGATAGCAGCAGCTGCCAAACCAGGCTGTAAGGGACTAAGATCTTCACATACCCGGACAGAGAATAAGGAGATTTTATTACAGGATTTGTCCTTGGGTAATTTCAAATCTGTTTCTGTTCCCCAGCTTAAAAGACTTTTGATACTTGAGAAATACTCAGTCATATATTGTGATTCATCATATAAAGGCAGTTGTAAGAAAAACTGTTGCTGCCTGTGATGAATTCCTCTTCACTACATTGAAGATTCCTGCTCTGCTGCCTCAGAAAACATCTTTGGTTTGTGAAAATTATATCAAATTATTTACAGGACAAAGAGTTCAAATGGCATTCTAATTTACTCAGATTGTATTTGAACAACACAAATCAATTAGGTGCAGTGAGGACTCATGGGAGAGAGCGATGCATTTGGACTAGTTTTCATCTCAGCTGGAGACAGCAGCAGTTGCAGAGAATAGGACAGGTTCATTAGTCCTTGCTGAGAGGACTTCACCTGTTAAGAAGTGATGCAAGAAGCATGGAAAGAATTGGTGAAACTTGGTGACCTGGACAGTGGATATATGACTAACAAAAGCATGCACTGGTATTTGAGGCATCCACACAGGAGGAAAAGTTGAGATGGGAGTTGTGGTGGCTGTTTGCAATAACACAGCAGGAGTGATCATCTCTGGTGGAAATTTAAAATAAATGGCATTGAGTAGCCTATGGCTGGTGACTGAAAAATGAGGACCTCCACTAGGCCTCAGTTTTTGAGTCTGCAGTAGGAAGCAAACTTGTGAGAGATTAAGAGCTATATACAAGGCAATCTTCAGTTCCATGCAATTTGTGTTGATGTGATGACAATGTCCTCAAACAAACCTGTGATGTCCAGAGGACTATGGTGAGGCTCCTGCGGGTGAAAATGTGTAGAAGGCCCACCTCAGCTTGCACTGATGCTCCAGGAGCAAATGTGTTCCAACCTGCATCAGAGCTGGATGGGCAGAAGATGGGAAGTGGTTTCCCAAAATAATGAGAGGCAGATACTGGTTCAGCCTCACACATGCTCACCAAGAGCAAAATTACTTTCCTCAGAAATTAAATGCATCACTTGGTATTGGGCAAGCTTAAATTTTTACTTAAATTTTAGTAAGCCTCTCTTTATCTTACTAAACTTGATGTTAGGGTAGGGGAATAGCTTTTGAGACACTGAATAAAAAAATCCCCAGAAATCCAACATGGACTAAATACTCACTCTGGCTGGATATTTGGAAAAGATAAGCATCAGGAGAACATACATCACAAGCCCACCAAAGGAGATTAGCTGGCGGGATCCCTGTTCCATTGTGTCAAAGATGAGCCAGCAGATGATAGTTATAATAAGAGCTGCACACAACACCCTGGGGAAAAAAAGCATCAAGACATCCTGAAAAGACCAGATATTCCTTTCCCTTCCCCTACTCACAACGCTTACATTTCTGTTTGTGAATGAACTCTCTGTGCAATGTTGTAGACTGAAACACGTAGCTTTACACAAGCAGGAATGTGCCTTTGCTGATGCACCTCTAACAACAACCTCCCTTGGTAGCATCCCAAAGAAGTGTCCTCCAACAAGGTCCCCCAAGCCAGATTAAAAACCCAGAGCAAAACCCAATAAAGCATGAGTAGCTCTTGTCTGGGTGTTATTTCTATTAAACGAAGTGTGATATCTTCCTTTCTCATTCCATCTCCTTCCTTCTTCCCTTCTTTCCTTTCCTTTGTTGAATTTTTCCTTAACTCTTGGCAAGGCAGGCTGTGCTTTTTACAAATTGCACTGTGCCATTTAACTTGTGGGTCTATGAGGAACACTCTATCAAGGAGCAGGTTGTAAATGGTTTATTTCTTTGTAACCAGATGTGGTCTGTTAAGTTATATCAAAAACAATGACAAGAGCCATGTGTGTATCTGTGTTTCAGTGTTTCTATGGTCCCCACTATCACAGAACCATGTTCAGCTTATTTATTGAAGCTAATTACTACAACGACAGCCTGAAAGGCAGCAAAATACATCTCCCATGCACAGACAGGAAATAAACACAGCTCAAAATTTTTAATGCTACTCGTGTCTAACAGTTAGCTTCCACTGATTTCAACAATGGATGCCCAAATTCCATTTTCAGACCTGGATTAAGAAAGTTGCAGTCAAACTCCACAAAATAGCTTGGCCATTGCAAAGCTGAATAACACCTTCTACACCTGACAGATTTTCTGTCTCTTGGAGGAATATGGTTAAGCACTTAATCTGTGATATGGATTGCAGTCCAGTAATACAGCACTTACTGCCCACGGTTTGTTCCATCTGCTGCCTGGGGCTCTCCTGTTCCTTTTGCTCCTTCCTCCAAAAAGACTGCCAGATTATCTAATGGAGATGTGTCTTTGTGACTGCTCTCTAATGTGCCTCCTGAGCAGAAGGACCATAATCTTTATAGCATCTTTCTCAGCAAAACCATTTTTAAATCTTAAGAATAAGATGGGACATTTTCCTGAACTGAGCATGACTCCACCTCAGAGTTCTTTCTCTCTCAGCTAGCAGGTAATCTAGCTGAAACAGAATGCAGCTGGCCAATTTGCTTTTCCTTTTTAATGATATTTCATGTGGTCTTTTCTTCAGTCTACAAGTCTCCTTTGGCTCCTCATTTTACCGAGGATAACTTCAATATTCCTGATACGTGCTCAGGAATACTTGAAATATGCATCCGCCATATCTAATTATCTACCATCTATCTGCCAGATGAATATCTACCACCCCAAATTAAGGTTGTATGGCCTTATTATGACACTAATTCTGGCTGGCATGTTTTGATTCCTGAAGGCCAAGTAAAAATTGCTTTGGGGATATGTGGAAAAGCGGTGTCTAGGTAACACACTTCAGTTATAAGCAGTTTGCATAAGTTAGAGTTAAGGTTTTTATGAAACTAATAGTTCTCTGAACTAGTGACAGTGAAGCACTTTCTGGTCTGCAGAGTGAATGCAACACAACTGAACTTCTGTGAATGTATTCTCTTCCAACTACAAACTTGTCCTATCTCAATCTCTGGTATTTTTGTACACTTTGTGTCAAGATTTTTGGTACATAGTTACTGCATTTCAAACTTAAGGGTGTGTCTGGTATCTATAAACTGGAAAATAGAATTATTCTGTGACCTTACTGAAACTGAAATTTGCATGATTGACCCATCTCCCTGTGCTTATGGGGGTGTAAGTTGAAATAAAACTGTAGGATTAACTTGACTAATGTTTTGTCCTTCTACATAAAAAAAGAAAGTAATTAATATTTACCATTTCAGCCAAAACCACTGTTTTTTCAGATATCTTTCTCCAGGGGAAAAGAATGCAGTAATTTTGTCTTCATACTTAGCTATTAAAATATCCCAGCAGATGAAGAATGTGACCATGACAGTGATGATAAAGAGTGGCAAGGCTCTCTGAAAATTCAAGCTGCAGGCTGCAATAACTACTGCCAAGTATGCTGTTACAGAAACAAGAATATACATGTCCGTTAGGATGGTCTTTTTAAAAACAAACTGTAAGGATCAAATCTTAAATTTATAGGACATGATTAAAGTCAGGCCCATGTTTATCTTTTCAGTGCTTTTCTGACTCTTTGCCGAAATACCGAAAAACTTTACTTTTGTAAATGGCAATATGATATTATCATGATATGAAAGATGGCTTTCATTCTGTTAGAGAAGGTTATATGCTTTGGCCAAGTTCATATCAAAAATGTTAACCATTTGGGAAAATTAAATACAAAGAAAAACAAAGAACTTCTTTTTCCTGTGCAAAAACCATGAATTAAGAGCATGAGTCTTGTTCCTTCTTTCATAAGAGAATGAGTGTATCCAATAAAACTAGAAAAAAAACACTTAAAAATGTCAGTTGACTAATTTGATGGCTCTCTGAAGTAATTGTGAAGCTTAAAAGTAGTATATTTTGTAAAATAGCAGTGAAATTGTTTGTCATTTGGCAGTCTCATTGCTGATATATGGTGGCCAAAAAAATATTCAGTTCTTGTAAATAATAATTTGATTTTGTCTATGGCAAATAAGAAAGAAAGACTACTGATTTTTGTAAGGTAAGTTTTTTTTTTGTGTAATTACTCTATGTAACCCTGACATATCCTTAGCACTTACTCTCTTGAGCCAGAACATGCACATACTATGACAAAGCAAGAAAAGATGATGTTATGAGGGTAAAATTTTCAGCATGCAAACAGCACTTTTATAACCACCTTCTGGTATGCTGGTGCCTATCTCACAGATGTATTTCAGTTCTATATGTTCTCAGTGGTAGTAGTAAGAAAATCACAAAAACAAATTTGGTGAAACAAACCAACCTACTGGTTAATTAGGAAAGGGAGAAAGAAGAACGTCTGAATGGTTCTTCAGTGCATACTGTCATAAACACATTTCCTCTGGAAAACATTTTTATGGATATTGAGAGATATGAGTCAGAACAGAAAACTTTCGTTTCTAGCCTACTAACTTAAGTTCAGTCTTATTTTTGTGTCTGACTTTTTTTTTCTTTTTTTTTTTAGTGTGATTTTGTAGTTTGGGTAAGTTCCTGCAACTGTTATTTTGGAGGCAGCTGGCAGTGAAGTAGACACAAAGACTGAACTATCCTACTATCTCAAACATAATTGTTAGTCAGAGTGGAAACACGCCAGAGGAGCAGTATAGCAAGATTTGTGGGGTTTGTTTCGAAATGAGAGGAGGTTTTGCAACCTGGAGTTTTTTTCTGGTACTAAATTCACTTTTAATTCCTTTGAAATGCATTTTTAAAGACAGACAAGAGTTTTTTTGTGTCAGATAGAAGACAAGCACAGCCTATAATCTCATGCAGGCATATAAATAAAACTTCAGCAACTCTGAGTGTAATATATACCATACCTGTCATTAAAATTCCACAGATCACATAGTGAATTCTAATTTTATGTTCCTTGTAAAATTCACAGATTTTATCATAGTTCTTTTCTAAATGCCTAGAAAAATGGGGAAAAAATAATGAAGAACAGAAATGTAAGCTTTTGCAGAAGAAAATTGGGTTAAGTTGGTCAAAATTTTGCCACTGCAGTTGGAACTTTGTAAGGGTTAAATTTGGCTCCCCAAGTGCCAAATGAAATTGTGCCTTTTGAGCAAGGCTACTTTGGGCTGATGTTGGACAAGTAAAAAAGAAAGTATGGCAGATTTCTGACTGGACAATCTGTTAATTGCCTAACTGGCCAAAGTCATCCAGCCAGTTCCACTAGCTTCTGATGTGCAGCTCTTCTGTGAAGGCGTCTGTTAAGGTAGGTACAGATTCAGGGCCATTAGTAGACCCACAAAATCTGTTAATACACCCAGCACTACTATGTGGAGCAGTAGGGTTGCTAAAACTGTGAAGGCCTATGGCCTATGACTACATTTTTGTGTGTAAAATAACCAATGTCTATCTAAAACTTTATTACAGTGGGCGTAGATGTTTCTGGATTTTTTAAAATTTGATTATGATTTACATTAACTTTTCACATCATCAGCTCATGGAAGTTAACATTATGTTGTATTTGAACATCCTACTCTAGTATCAGTTCTTCCAGTTATTATGTTTCACTTTTGTTGTTTCCTCACCTCAGTAAAGGTAACACAGAGTGATTTCATGAAGGAGGTTGAAATTTAGGGAAATAGCAGTTACTGGAATTAATTCCACACAGATTTCCAGTGATAAGTATGCTGGTGATATGGATATATTTCAGTTACAAAAGCTGTAGCTACATATTGTGCAAGCTGAAAAAGAAATCACAGCTGTACCTTTGTCATCTCAGAGGCTCTGCTTCAGAGATGAGTTTGCTAAAGCATTGCCTCACACCCTCACTATATAAAAGCAACATTATATTTAGAGATACTAATTCTACAGGCTCTACTTGTTTGGAAACTAAATGCAGCTGGAGTTAGATGCATACTGAAATTCAAAAATACCCTTCTTTTCTGCACTTGAAAGAAAATTGATTTAATTTAAATGAAATTCCAGTGAAATAAGTAATATTAATTTAATTCATATCAGGACTCAGAAGAATAGAGCAGGAACACTCGTCTTCAGCAGTAGAAGTGTTATATAGTCTCTGAGAAACCTTGATTGCTTTTGATATTTCAATTTTAGTTCTGAGAATTCCTGTTGCTTCATAAATTACAGTACTTCTTTTTTTTAATCTTACAAGAACGTTAGGTTATCTACCCAATCTCCCCAGAGATGTTAGATACAACATAAAGAGAAGAAAAGTAGAAATGAGAGACAAATGTATGAAAAAGCCAGTTATTTATGAAATTCGTGGCTCATCCATCAACGTAGAAAAGAAAAAAATACTATTTACTGCCTGTTACTGCTACTTATGAGTCCTTTGGAATTTAAAATTGTTACTTTCTGATTACAATTTCTTGTAATTTCTTATCTGCTTTAACAAATCTACTTTTTGTTTTATTAATTAGGCTATATCACTTTGGTACCAAAATATCTTAAATATCCATGTCATAAATATGCAGCTCTCTTCTGAAAAATGGCAGAAAAAATATCTTCCTTATGGAATCCAGTTAATTTACTAAGGAAACATTATTTCATAAAAGGTGATCCTAGAGGCTTGAAATGCAGCACATTGCTGATGGCTTTTACTTAACCAAAAATGTTGAAAAAACCAGATCTCACTTAAGCACATTACTGTGAAATTTGTATATGCCAAACCTATTCTTGTTTGCATTTTGCAACTCAGAAATCTATTTTCTATTGCACGTGTACCCCAGAAGTGAATGTTAACACCTTGCACTTGCAGTGAATCGTTGCTATCAATAGATTGATCTTTCAAAGGGGCTGTCTCAGACCACAGGCTATTCAGTACTATCTGTTGAAAGAAATCAATGACACACATGAAGATTCAATATGACAGGAAAAAAAATACAAGAAGATATAATTTTAAGTATTGTAAGTTGTATCCCCAAAAAACAACCTAATCCTCAAGTAAAATGTAGATGTATGTTTTCACTCTGTGGTCACTTGGAAATAGTGCAAAGGAAGTGTAATAATTTTACTCCATCAAAATGGCTTTTTTCACAGCTGTTCTATTCTTACTTTGCACGGGGGGGTGGGGGGAGGGTGTGACTATGTAAACTGAAAGACAATAGTGAATCTTTAACTTTCTGAAAGAGACCACTGTTGAACTATGTTTTAAAGAGATCTCACTTAAAAAAACTGTTATGGAAATGCTGGAAAAGTAGTTATTGTGCAAAAATTAAAAATACTGCTCCTTTAATTTGCAAAGCTTTAAAAGGATATTTCCACAGTCACCCATGTCAGTTGTAAGGTATAATAATTTTAAACATGATGTGTTCCTGTATTACACAAATTGCTAGGTGATACAAACATCTATGTAGCAGAGAGGTATGGCAATGAAATTCAGAGCTGTCACTCTAGAAGAAGAAACACTAACAGCTTTTTGCTTAGGCCAGGATGAAGTGAGTGCAAAACTTACTCATTCGTAATGCATACCCTTTCAAGCGTGGTTGCTCATCATCTACTGAGGCACATTTGTTTTCCAGCAGATCACTCTCAATATTGATGTATTCATCCCCCTGGAAAACAGATCGGTGCTGAGGCTGTGAGAGGGGTGTATGCTTGTTAAACAAGTTGCAAAAAACGTCCCCACTGGCACATTGCTGAAGCAGTCTCAAGTTTCTAGTCTGCACTGCGTGCATGGCTGTGGCTCTCCTGTCTGCCACCAACTCTGTGGCCATTATCAGGCAAACCTAGTGCTCACAATAGCTGTGAATGTTCTCAAGCCACCCACACTATTTTCAAAAGGAGAATAAAAGGGGGTAGACATACCAGTGTTCTGAGCTGAAGACGGTGGGGTCCCATACAGACTACCCCTGCAGACAGTCAAAAAGCAAGGGCTGCAGAGCAGCAGGTAGGGACAGCAGACCTGCTAATTAGTCAGCTTGCCCGGCACCTCTCAGACATTCCAAACTTCAATATGATTTTGTGTAAAAATATGGTTAAACTGAGGAAGGCTTATTGTTTTAAAAATTTAACTAAGTTAATAGTTCTTAAGAAAAGCTGCTCTGAAAGCATAACAACTAACAATCTTTTAAAGAGAGCTATCATCCACAAGCTTTGTAGCAGAAATACAAAATTTGGCCAGATAACACACTTTCAGTAGGAAAACAGCTTTTTGCTATCTGAATCCACAAAAGCCTGGCCGCATTCAAGCTTTTGAATGACTACAGGCTGACACCCACCCTGTCTGAAGACTGTCTTGAGGTGGCCTGGAGCAGCACAGCTCCCCCCAAGCTCCTTGGCACACCTGTGGGAGCTGCCATGCCCGCACTACAGTACTTCCCCCATCCCTGTCCAACTTTCCCCCACCTGTTCCATGGCTACATCCCTCCATGCTCATGGTGGGGGGCCTGTGGAGGCGCTGATGACCCATGGCAGGTGACCATTGCGTTCAGACAGCAGTGTACCGAGCTGGGCCCTGGGTGCCACGCTCACACCTCCTCCTTTGAATGCCGTGCCAGGGCAGCGTGATCAGCTGCCTGCCCTGCAGTGCCCAGCCAGCACCCGGGGAAGGCAGTCTTTTCCTGATCGAGCGGACATGTCCTACCCTCTTGAGAGGAGCGGCCCACAGTACCCCACCCCTATCCCCCTCCGCTTTTTGAACAGTGGCAATCTGCTGGTAGGTTTACCTTTTCTTTTTCTGTCACTGTTGTTCCTAATTCCATCCCCCAGTCTGCTGTGGAAAGCAAGGCCTACCACAGACCTTGGCCTGGCCTCCGCATTCTGTCTGGTTTCCCTGCTGCAGGGGCTGCCGGAAGTCCTGGAAAGCCCTCAGATAGTTGCTAGGGAAAGATCTGAATCACAGTCTTAGAATAGCCTGCGTCAGAAGCGACCATAAGATCATCTAGCTCCAGCCTCCCTGCCATGGGCTGGGACGCCTTCCGATAGACCAGGTTGCTTGCTCAAAGTTCCATTCAGCTTGGCCTTGAACACCTCCGGGGATGGGGCATCCACAACTTCTCTGGGCAAACTGTTCCAGTGCCTCACCACCCTCACAACAAATAATTTCTTCCTGACACCTTATCTAAAGACACCCTCCTTCAGTTTAAAGCCATTCCTTCTTGTCCTATCACTACCCGTATAAACTCATTTTAAACTCATTATAACTCATTTTTTTAAAGAAGCACCGTTTAAGTGCAGAAAGCCACAGGGGGATCTTCCCAGTGCCTTTTCTTTTCCCAGCTGAACAACCCCATCACTTGGTCCTCTTCACTGCAGTTTTTGGAGGGGTGCATGTGGAGTTGTGTAGCTCTGTGAAGCTGCATTGATACTTATGGCTGATTTTTGCTAAGCTCAATTTTTTTCTCTATTTGGTCTTGATTGTGAAAGAAAGCAAGCCTGAAAAGTTCCTACGAAGTTGCTATTATTTTTAGTAACTGGCAGTAACTCTTCTCAGTGGTTGCAGGAGATAGGCTTCTCACCTGAGGGACACAGAATGCTGATAATATGTAAATATCATTTATTCCTGGGCTTAAATTTGGAGTTTGTTGCATAGCAGTGTTTCTCACAGATTTTTGAACCTACATTATAAACCAGGAGAGTTCCATCCTCTGAGTTGAAGAGCCATGCTTTCACAGTTGCAGGCACCTACACTCTCTTTGGCACTATGTCCACTCTCCCAGCCACAGCCTGAAGCTCATGTCCTTCAGGTATTTCCTTCATCCCCACCACCATCCCCACTTCACCTATTTCATGGGCTGCCAAGGCCAGACCATACTCTCCCATCACTTTCCCCCATGCCACAACCTACTCCCTGGCCTTGGATCACCCACAGCCTGGGTTCTGTCTCTTTGAATTTATGAAATATATGGTTTATCTTGAGAATATAACCTATTTTTCCATTTCAGTATTTCAATTAAAAAAAAAAATCAATCTAAATATTTTCACATTTTCTACAATATATGTCACTATTTTACTGTCACAAATACTTTCCTACATTGACATTAAAAGGTGTTGAGAAAATCTGAAATAAAAGAGGACTTAGTGCGAAACTGTGCAGATACACAAGGAAAATGGAGAATGGATCTAAACTCCTTTTCCTCTTTTGTTCTTTTTCATGGGCAAACATAACACCAGATCTGGCTCTTGGAGAGTGTTGGCCCTTGCTGAGGGTTACCTAAGGCCTGTGTGGAGCTTATGGACTTCTGCCAGCTAGGACACAGCAAAATTCATACGCTGCAGACCCTCAAAATAATTTTTTCTGCATCAGTCACAGTACGTCTGGGAAAGTGTCACTGCGAGTATACTCATCTCTGCTAAACTTGCACCAAATAGAGGCTGAATGCTTTCAGATGGAGCCTTTCAGTGGGAAATTTGTTTTTCTGATAAAAATCAAGCTTTCATTGACTGCCACTACTTTTCTCCAATTTTCTACAGTTTCAATCAATTCTGAAAGTCCTTTCTTCCTTTTTGTTTTAACAATTTTCTTTTTGCTGGCTTTTTTTTGAAGAGGAAGTTATAGGCATCGTCTACAGCTTTTCTCTCCTAGGATCTCAGATACCAGCCTAGTTCCCAGGACTGCATATCAGAAGTGATCCTTTCTACACCTGCATATGGAATTACTTCAACTTTGAAAGCAGGGGCATTACTTTGGCAGCATGCCTTTGCTGCCTCTGATTATAGCCAAAAAAATCAATGGAAGACAGAAATGAGTACCACTGCATCAGGTATTTCATATGTGCTGTTTCAAGTACCGTCACCAAACTTGGCAAGTAGCTATGATTACAACATAATAGAACTTTTAGAACAGAAGTTTGTTTCTGGAGTGTAGATGTGAAAATGTTAAGACTAGACTCCAATGAAACTCCTGTGGGTTTTTTTAACCTGACTCTCATGTTTTCATAGTGAGCTACTCACTATGTGGTCTTGAACAAACATACAGTGAAAAGAAGTCAAAATGAATATGTTTATTATTAAACTAATCTCTATTGTGTTTTTTTCCTCCTTCTCTGGTCAGTTTTACACCAGATTTATTGCCCCAAGTTTGTGTTTGTCTGAAATTTCCCCTATTTTGGATGTTCATTTAATAATTAGATATTACTTAATTTATTATTAAATATTTAATAATATGTATGCTCTGTCAGAATGAAAGTTTGTCACTAAATCCAATGTTTAAAGACTTAGGTCTATGAATTCACATGAAGTTATTTGAAAGAAAAGGAAGGAAAAAAAGGAAAAAACCCCAAACCATACCTGATCAGTGTGCCCTGTTCTCTTATTTTGTGAATTCTTGATTTTCTGCGAACTGTCTCCGAGGCCTTCCAGATTTGTAGCATCCACACTTCCACTGTCATTCTGGAACATGACAAGACCAGAAATTGTATAGGCTCAAATCAGAAGCTGAAAGCCTTTCTCATATGTGGTAAGAACTCATTTATGCTCTGATGCCTATGCTTCCACATGAACAAGTGAATAGATGGCAAGTGAATAGATGACAGGAAATGGCCTCAAGTTGCACCAGCAGAGGTTTAGATTAAATAATGGGAAATATTTCTTCACTGAAAAGGTGAAAACAGGCTTTGGAACCGGCTGCCCAGGTGGAATGACCAGGCCTGAGATGTGGCACTTTGCGTCGTTAAGTGGTTAAGAGAGTGGTGCTAAATTAATGGTTGGACTTGATGGTCTTAGAGGTCTTTTATAATCTAAACGATTCTACAATTCTATGTGTTTCTTTACTAGTACAGGGAGCCCAAAACTCAATGTACAGAGCTTGGCTGTTTCAGTACCTGCACTACTGCACAAAGCTGTGTGAGCCATGGGTGGTGCTCAGCTAATGTGTATCCACTATTTTCTTATCTTAACTCACTTGTCCTTAGGCCCTTTGTCTCAGAACTGGTTCAACAAGTTAACAAAGATCCAGCCTTCCTCCTAACCAAGGGCAAAATTCACATCTTAAACCATAACTGAAGGATTCCAGCACTGATTCATCTATTTTGAATTCTTACTTTGAATGTTTATTTTGAATGAAGATTGTTATGAAGGAAGTGTTTCTGCTTTCACACACCACTTTACTTTTCCTGCCTGGAATTCCCCTCTTACAAAATATTAGAGAGCAAAAGCACAGAGTTGCCTTGTCCATGTAAGTGAGGTGTTCTTTCATTGTTTATTTAGTTCCCTCGTGTTGAGCTGTTCATTTGTCAAGTCTTTGCATAACTACCTTCCCTGCCATCATCCCCAAATTTGGAGGATGGATTCAGCAAAGACCTAATACCTTCAATCGTTGTGCTTTTAACAAGAGCAGACACTCTAGAGTAGTTGCTTTTTCTCATATGCTAATTAGTGATGAAAACAGATTGGCCATCAGTGCATGCAGGCAGGTGCTTAAACTGTTTATGGTTTAAGGGTAGGTAAGTAGGTAACTACATTATCTTGGAGATTAGAATCAGAATACTTAAGGAACTCTGTGGAAAACAGACACTTCAAAAGCAAATGGTTTAATGTTGGGGTTTGTTGAATTTAATCAGATTTTCTACTGTATTTGGCTAGCTGAAATGAAGCCATCTAATTTACAGTTCAAAACTTGCTGTTCTTTAAATATTCTGAACTGGAGAGCATTTATCTAAGCTTTTCTTCATGTACTAACTTTTACTAGCTAATGTCATGATTCTGAAGGAGTTAAAATGCATTTTAAATGAAGACGAACATTTTTTTTCAATCAATAATCATAGCATTCATAAATTCCAGTCAAATGATAAAATTCTTTGTAGCTGTGTACAGGGCAGGAGAATGAATATTCAGTATCCATGTGCTAAATTACAGTAAAGGAGCTGCAGAGACAGCAGATAAGAAACATGTACTGACAGATTTAAATTTAGCAGGCTAGATCTTCATGGGGTATTTTGAAAAGGGCTGTAAATAAGACTCCCCACCTCTGAGCACACTGGTGGTTTTTTTTTAAAATAATTTGTTGGTCTTGGATGGGAGAGTTGGATAGTATCCTAAAATGCAGGGTTTTTAAAAAAAAGCCAAAACAGGCATGGCTTTGGAAAGCAAGTTTTGAAAACATGGAAAAGAACTGCATAATTTCCTCTCTGGATCTGATGAAGCAATGCAATGCGACACCTTCATTGTTTCCAAGGGAAATTACAAAAATTATGTACATGAAACATAAATTCTTAATAGTGCCTATAGTCTTAATTAACAAACCAGATAAGAGTATTTAGGAAATGGGGGAGAACGGTGCAAACACAGAAACAAGTGGCGTTTTTTAGGATACATTTTAACCTTGTTTGAATTAAATGGGGTATAAATACTGCATGTGTTACGGCAATACCAATGTCTTGTGCAATATGAGTAAAAGGCAGAATTTTAAAGAGGATCCTTCCTCATGTCAGCTCCTTAAGAGCACGGTGTGCTCAGCTATAGACACAAGTACAGACTGCTTATTGCATCATAACACTGACAACAAGAGGCCAGTGAAAGAGAAATATTTATTAAGTATTACCTTTCCTTTGCATTGTATTTGTTCTATGTTTACCTCTGTATTGATTTTAAATGTAGGGGAGTTTATTCATCCCATCTACTTTTCCTTTTTTTAAGGCAGCTTTTGTCATTCCTTGAGGAGCAAGTGTTACTTGATATTACCAGAGATCTAAATCATCAAAACTGATTAGATAAATTTTGGCATTTAAATGAGGACTAAATAGAACCTAGATGAATCCAATCTCAGTTTTAGGGTTATTGTTGGTGTTGCAGGGTTTCTGAGAAGGAATTCTTTGGACAACTGCAGCAGTGTTCCAGCCAGTGCCATCAGAGAGGAACCACCTTGAAGGCAAGAGACACAGTAGTGTTTCCACACACTATGTATGACATTATAGTAGCTATAGATGCACAATGTACTATGTTAGCAGGTAGACACTTAACGTGGTCAGTTTTCTGAATTGAGGATAATGATTTAAGTTCCTTAAATTGCACAACGTTTTTAAGGGGAAAAATATTAACAACCTGAATGTCTCATTATAAAGACAGCAGTGATCTATAGATTTTAGCCATGAGGTGACATTCAAAGCAACCAACTTTATCATGTAGGTCTTAACAATTGCATTGTGTTATATTGCACTGAAGGATAGGAGCATGCTAGGGAAGACTGGCAGTGTGGGTAGAGCTATGTATCCTTTTAAAACCAATACAAGAAGCTTACTCATTGTAATTCACCCAAATGGCTGTTAGTGATTAAGATGTCCCTATTATCAAAGAGAGAGAGAAAACAAGAGGTACAGCGGAGCTGTACATTTTGGGTTTATTTTCTGTTTTGAGACAATTTTGAGCTGCTAATAAGTGGAAAAGTTACTTCTGTGTCTCCCAGGTAGTGACATTATCACAAGGCAATAATGCAGGACATGCAGACTTCGATGCTAGTTCAAGTGGAAACTGCATAGTGTACAAAAGAAGTAGGAGATATTTTGCAGAATTGGGCATTTTTGAAAATGCAATTAGTGGTACTGATATAACTTTATGCTACAGGGATGCATGTCCTGTCTGAGAGTTAACCTTGGTTAATTTCTGAGGGGATATGACAGTACCATTGGAAAAGGTGATGCAGTTAAATGCTTCTGTGATACAGTGAAAAACCTATCAGAGTAGAGAAGGCTGTATGTGTTTGTGGTATCAATAGCAAAGATGAAATTGAGAAGACCTTGTAGTTATACTCCCTTTGACCGCTTCTATAACAATCAAAAGGCAGATTTCTCTATATTACAATCCCTTCATCCCATTAAGAGTCCCTCCAAAACAGAAAGCACATTGTTTCTCATTCTTGACTTAATAAAGCTCTGATCTGATCCTTCATCCATTGTTTGTAAGCCTTGAGCTGCTTTGTGTTACACTGAGAGCTGTATTGGTAACTTAGGTACTTTCTGAAACAAATTAGCTAAATTCGATTTACTTTATCTCTCTCTTAATCTATCCCCTTGTGCATTGATCATGAAGTGGTTCAGGTACATCTGAAGACACCTATGGATGCTTCAGATGATACTTACCAGGATACTTAAAATGGTTTCAATTAATCCTTTTCCAGAACACTTATATTTTGTGGTTTAAGTAAGATACTTATTGCTTAGTACTGTAAGACACTGTTATCTTGGAGGAATTCAAGTGTTCACTTTTATGCAAGAAAAGTTTAAATACAAGAAATAGGGAAAAATTTTGAGATTGTTTACTTCTCAGTGGCTTCTACTGTGAAGTGATTTTTCTATATGCAGAATTTTACTTATTTCCTTCTGTGTCTTATTTTCTCTAAGGAGTGGATTACATATTGAGTCAGAGATAGACATTATAAATGTAATTGTGAACACCTTCTGATGTTTCAGGAAAAAGAAAACCAAATTAACAAACTAACTGAAAAACCAAAACCAAAACACCTGCATCAGATCAAGTTTCATTGTTGGATAGCCTCAGTGATTTGGCATTTGAATTATTTAAATCAGAGAAGAGCTGTAGGCTCTTGCAAAACTCCGCAGCAGACGGGAAAGGAAGAACCTGGGTTCCCTGCACACAGCGCAGGTGAGCTAGGCTGTACAAGGCAGAAGGTTAACTCAGATCCCTCCAGCACGCTCCACAGAGACTGCTGAGGGAAAAGGTGATTTTTAGCTTATGTTACTCAAGAGTATTCAGCACTGAGCTTCCAGCTAGGGAGGGGCTCCTCTACTTTTTGTGTTTATATACACAGACTTTGAAAGCTGATGGCACTAGCCTAGGCACACATTTTGTGTGAAAACACCGATGCCTTCTCTTACCTCATCCACCGGAAATGAGGGAGACCCAAGAACTTGCCTATCTGCTCTGAAGCACGGATGCGCTGAGGGTGCTCTGATTATCCAGGAAAATGACCTAACCAGTGGGCTATCGTGTTTTTAGGGAGTTATCTCTGTCTCTTCTTGAATTTGTCCCACTTAGCATGGATTATTAACTATTGACTGAAGCAGGGACTTGACCTGACGCTCCTATATTCCGCAAATATTCCCTGACCGACAGAAACTCACATCGGTCTATTGCTTATCTGTCTCTATTGTTCAATTAATAAATATACAGAGTGGTTGGATGTCACTGATGTTATGCAATATTCCACATGCCTAGGTTCTACAAAGACCTTTCTGTGTTATTTGAATAGTGTCTCCTGACATTCCAATCCACTACCCCCTTCCAGCTAGCTGAGCTCAGGGGCAGGGTAAGGATGAGAGGCTGTAGAGGAGAGCAAGGTGTTGCTTTGCTAACACAGCACTCTTCAGAATACTTAAAAGCCACTGTCTCCCCCCGGCCAATCGTACCTTTGTCAATAAGTACAGTGACACAGCTTGGTCGCAGGTTCGCAAATTTTTGTTTGTCTCTGCTCTAATTTCAAAGAAAGCACATGGATGCTGGGCACTGAGAAAGAATAACTAACTGGGTTGCCTTGGGGTTGAGTTTTTTGGCTTTTTTGTTGTTGTTGTTTTGGGGGTTTTGTTTGTTTGTTTTTTTTTTAGGGTTTTTATTTGCTTGGGGTTTTGTGGTTCTGCTTTTGAAATTTGCATTTTTCAAATAGCTTTTAGTATTACTTTATGCACATAGAATGCAGAATCTTTTGGACTGACTCTTTACCTTCTCTCTGTGTTCTTCTTGAGAGCAGAACAAGACAATTGCACTTATTTTATGCATGGGAGAATAATATGATTAAATTATTATTTTTCTCATGTTATTAATATAGATTGCTTTGATGAGTTATATGTCTGTGGCATAATGATAACCCTTCTCTTCAACAGAACTGTAAATCATCTATCCTCAGAAAAAACAAGCAAAGGATACAACAAGTGGATAAGCCAGTGAGATTCATCAGCCTATGAAATATTACTGACTTTTCAGAGATAGCTGCATACCGGGCAGCAGATGATGACAGCTAGCAGAGCATGCTCCTGAATTTGTCAGTTGTGCTCCAGCTTTTTTTACAAGAGCCATGTGCTTTGGCAGGATATCAGAGCAAAGCATGTAGGATGTTGTAAAATATCTGCAGGTTGAGAACAGAAATTGCTTTTTCTTTGTTCAGGAACTGAATTAAGCATTGTTCGTTGTTTTTTTTCCTCTTCACCACAAACAAATGAAACCACACTTACCTGGAAGGCCAAATTGTGCACTCCTGAGGGATCACGGTTGGTCTCCTTCAGCTCCATGTGCCTAACGTGGGCAGGAGAGTTTCAGGGGAATGTTGAAAGTTACTTGCAGTGCAGGACAACAGCAGCCAGAACCTGGTTAATTCATCAACAGTACAGGTATCACTTGAAGCCCAGTTAGCTGGAGGCCCTCTCAGATTTCTCTTGATCACTCTTAGCTCCACCTTCTCGGTCCCTTGGCACAGCCCCTTTTGGCCGGCATGAAAAACGGCATTCAGTGTTTCCAGAGGGGGGCATACCTAGGGGCCCCAGAAATATATCTTACTGGCTACATCTCTGGATGAGCCCAGAGTGTACTCATATGACTTCTGACTTTCCTCGCTTGCGTAGGGGAAAATTTTCCATACCCAGATTTTGAGAGGTCTACACAGTTCAGTCTTTTTTACAGGTATTCTTGAGTAACTATTTTTGTGAAATTATTGGAGCTCTATTTTTATAGTAGTTAGGGAGTTCACCCAAGAAGAGAGACAATGAGGATAAGAACAACTCCCAAAACTCTTACAAGTACTGGTTATGCATTTTCAATTGGCATCCTGTATTATATGGCATGGAGTCATTTGGTTATATGTCCACAGATAACTCACCTTCAACCAGAGTTTTTCTAACACTTTTCAGGCTTGCCATTTGCAGTATTGCAAATATATGTTCTTAGAACTATCAGCTGGGTCTCTCACCCATGTTTTTTGTTGACTATGGACTTTGTGTATACAGATTGTTCTAAGTTTTGAAAATTGTAGCACTATTACAGACACAAATGTCAGACAGGGCTGGGGTGAATATAAGTTTTGCCTTTAAGAGTACCAAAAATTATAGTATTCTGTTTCTTTGAAATTGAAAAAAATATATTTAAGTATTCATTAGATGCCTACATTGATATCTTTCTACACACAGATTGAAATTGTCATGACTTGTGCCTGGTTTTCAGTGTTCAGAATATTTTTGGTGCTCCAGGTTTTGGAATCAGCATGTTTGTTGTTATTTGTATTTTCCCTCTGCGTAGAGGAAATTCTCCTACTAATTGATTCTCTGCACAATACTCTCCAGCAAGAAATAGCTGAAAATTACTTTAACAAGTTTGAATATAAGTGCCTGCTGATTACTGCATACCCCATCTGTTTTACTCTTTCTTTCTTCCTTCTCTCCTTCCAATTTTGAACATGCTTTTACTATCAGAAGGCAGAGGAAACAAGACAGTGAATTATTTTCAAATCTACTCCATGCGGTTTTAAAATATGCAATCTGCATTTGCATGGTTGGAAGAAAGTCTACCCTGCTAACTATTACAAGACATGAGGATTTTCTGCTATTGTTTCTCTTCTTCTGACAACCCATTAGATCATTTTCAGAACTTGTTTTCTCATTGAAAAATCTCAGAATAACTTGGACTCAATAATTTCAGTGCAGTTTCCTCCTCTGAATTATATTTTATGTTAAAAAACTCGGAGGATATTGAAAATAAAACCAACACATATAAGATAGGTCCTGAAATCACTATAAAGAGAATGAAGTATGCCATTTCCCTGTGGACAGGGAACCATACAGTTAAAGAAGAGGTGGAAATGCACTGATATTTTTTGTTGGGAATATTTTTTTAATATATTAATTTAACATATTTTATATATATAAAATATATTGTTCAGAAATATTTTTAATGTTCAACTAACAGCAAAACTCCTTTCTGTTTCTAGTTGGTTTAAATACTTACATGAACACATGGTTGAATTCCTTAACTACTATAAAAATGTCATGCAGCTTGGCTAGGTGAGAAAGGCTTTCTTGGGTAGTATAAAAATTTTAATCAACAGCACCGCTTACTGTATAAACAGTAGGCAAATACATAGCAATGTGATTCATACTAATCTGCTAGGTGCATAGAAAAGATGAGCAGGAAGATAAAGAAATAAGTAAAGTATCTAAAAAAGAGTAGAGTCATTTTGGTTTTTTTCATTGTTGAACTGTGGGAAGCAACTTCATACTTAGGACTTAGTAAAGTTGTTCCAAAAAATCAATTTTTTTATATACTTAATTGACCCTATTAATTACCTATAGTTGTGCTAATATTACTCAGCTGTGGTTTCAAAAACATTTCAGTTAAAAGTTTTGAAAGCTTTGAGATAACCCAATTACAATCTCTCTTACATGCTCTGAGTAAACTGCTCCTCAGTGGAAAGGTTAATGAAAGAAAAGCGTGGTTATCACTGACAAATGGTTGGCAAGTAGAAGATTAGTTGCTTTATGTTTTGCTATATGTCCTAACATTTATTTAGCCAGTCCTGCTTATCCCTCTACTGACTCCTCTGAGTGAAAAAGGGGCCTTCCATATTTGAAAACACATGGACCAAAAAAAACGTATTTTGTTAATATCTATAATCTCCAACCTCAGGTGTTTGCACTATGGCCTATTCAGTTTTTAGAAATATTTTCATTTTGATACTAATGTAAAAGATAAACTCTAAACCTCCGTATTATCATGAGAACAAAGGATATAGGGAAGAAATTACTGTTTTAGGGGAAAGAAACAGAATTTTATTTGTGCAAAATTGTCCCTCCACACACACTTTTCTTGGAAAATATGACTTTGGGACTCGTTTTTACCAGAGGGAAACTTCCCCTCCCGGTTTTCCAGGTAGTAGTCCTGCATTCTTAGGGAAAAGGGGACAGTGAAAACCTCTTAGCAGGATAAAAAAACCCTTAAAAAAATCAGAATGCTGTCAAGTGTGATGAAATCTGGACACAACTCCTGAATCTCCATCTGTAAAAATCTTATAGTTGTGTACAAAGTGACTGTAAATGAGGTGGCTGAGTGGCCTTCTTCCTTCCCAGTCTGGGCCCTGACTTCAGTTTTTGGTCCTCCAGTAAATCTCCAGCTCCTACTCTGGCTCCCAGCTCTCCAGGGATCTTTTGAAATCTATGTGATTCTGAGCAGATATGTTATCTTCCTTGTTTCTTTTGTCTTGCTCCCTTCCTCATTTCTCTGTGGCAGTAGAAATGAAACGTTTTCATGATTACCAGTTGTCCTAAAGTTTCACAAAAGGAAACATTGTAAAAAAAGTGCATGTTTGACAAACGCAATGAATTAGGGAGGAAGAAAAACTTCTTAGTGGAAAGTCTAGGGCCTTTGAGGACTATTGTGTTTTGCCTCGTGACAAATATCCATGTAAGGCTAAACAAAAGGAATCTTACATCTATTGATTCTCAAACAGCAGCAGTAAGTTTAGAAGAGTTCAAAGTGACCACCCCAGAGGAAGCAGGCTTTCTGGCAAACAGAAAAAGGATTTAATGTCATATCTTAATCGTGTGATACAAGGTCTAAGTAAAAGAAAATAACACTGCATGGCTGCTTCCATAGCACATTCACGTGAACACAGAAACTGAAAACAAAAAACAAAATCAAATAAAAGAAGAAATGTATACACTTAAAGGTAATAGAAAGGATTACTTTAAAGAATACTAATAAGGAAATTATGTAATTAGGATAAAAATCTTAACTAGGTTCAGTGACTGTTTCAAAAGGTTTTGGCCATCTGCAGGTGGGAGCTTCTGTGTGAACATGGGCTCAAAGACAGAAAAATGCTATTAGACTTAAAAAGCTTTCTTTTTATCCATTTATCCAAAATATCTTTATTAATAGATGAAGGTTTGATATAATTATCTAAATCTAACTGAAGAAAAAGATATCTGTTTGCTATCTGTCACTTGTACTGTTTTTTCTAAACTTTTATCCATAGAAATGTAATGGGCATCAATTTGCAAATGTCATCACATGCAGACATGGGGTGAAACAATGTTTCTTCTGGGCAGTGGGTTTGGGTTGTGTTCTTTGGTTTGGTTATTTGTTTGTGTGGGTTTTTTTGAATGTTTTGTTTGTTTTTACTTCTGCTTGCTAAATTATACCTTCTGTATGTTGGAAAACTTTCCCACACCATTTATGATCATTGCTTAGACACATGAATAGAGCCTAAACACTGTGTAAAGACAACTGATTTTGGTGTGTAATTTGTGTCAATATGCTTCATGCAGAGTGCAGTTCAGGTCTGGGCATGTCTGCTGTCTCATTAGTTCATTTTTATTTTGTAATAATCGTGCCTTTCTGCAAAGTTTCTATTTGGTGAGATGAAATGGAACACAGTCAACAAGACAGACAGTCACTGCTCTTGTGTAAATTAGACTTAGAATCATAGAATCATACAATCAGATGTGTTGGAAAGGACCTCTGAGATCGTCAAGTCCAACCCTTGAGCTGCTACCATCACAGTTATTAGACCATGGCACTAAGTGCCACATCCAGTCTCCTCTTAAATACCTCCAGAGGGGAGAATTCACCACCTCTCTAGGCAGCCCATTCCAATGCCTGATTACCCTCTCTGTAAAGAATTTCTTCCTGACATCTAACCTAAACCTCCCCTGGCAGAGCTTGACACCATGCCCTCTTGTCTTGCTGACACCTGCCTGGGAAAAGAGACCACCCCCTACCTGGCTACAACCTCCTCTCAGGGAGTTGTAGAGAGTCATGAGGTCTTCCCTGAGACTCCTCCAGACTAAACAATGCCAGCTCCCTCAGCCTCTCCTCCTAGGACTTGTGCTCAAATCCCTTCACCAGCCTCGTTGCTCTTCTCTGGACCTGCTCCAGCACCTCAATGTCTTTCCTGAACTGAGGGGCCCAGAACTGGACACAGCACTCCAGGGGTGGCCTCACCAGCGCTGAGTACAGGGGAAGAATCATTTCCCTTGTCCTGCTGGACACACTGTTCCTGATCCAGGCCAGGATGCCACTGGCTTTCTTGGCCACCTGGGCACACTGCTGGCTCATGTTCAGTCTCCTGTCAATCCAAACTCCCAGATCCCTTTCTGCCTGGTTGCTCTCCAGCCACTCTGTGCCCAGCCTGTAGCGCTGCAGGGGGTTGTTGTGGCCAAAGTGAAGGACCTGGCACTTGGCCTTGATGAACCTCATCCAGCTGGAAGCAGCCCAACTCTCCAGCCTGTCCCTCTGCAGAGCCCTCCTGCCTTCCAGCTGATCCACATTCCCCCCCAGCTTGGTGTCATCTGCAGATTTGCTAATGGCGGACTCAAATCCCCTCATCTAAATAGTCAGTAAAGATATTAAACAGAACTGGGCCCAGCACTGATCCCTGGGGAACACTTCTGAGATAGAAAGTGAATTAAAAGTAAATAATGCAGGCATGCAAAAGCA